TGCTTCAGCACATGCAGTGCACTGACGGACAAATTGCTCCACATCGTCGTCAACGTTAGGCCAGAGACTTCATTCGGTCCATTCCTGGGTGTCCACGATGCAGTTGACGAACGATCCGCTTTCGAAACTTTGATGGGACGACGATTCGATCGCCGAACATAACACAGTTGTCGACAACTTGAAGTCCATCTCGTCTGGCGAAGAACTTCTTGACATCAGAATCAGCAACTTGCTTCGCATTTGCTGGCCAACCTTCGTTAAGGAAATTCACCACTTGCTGAAGAACTGGATCCTTTCGCGTCTCAGCCACAATCATCTGGTGTGGTGCGTGACTGGAAGGTTGCTGATGGTGTCGTCGAGAATTGCTTTTGCTTCAGATTCGACGCACACGGCGGCTATGACGTAATCCTCATCTGGTCTATGCTGCGATGACATTAGCCGGGATAGAAAATCTGCATAGCCAAAATTCATCGATTAAACGTGTTGGATGTCGACATCGTACAGCAGAGGTGTCAAGGTCCAGCGCTGCAAACGGTTTGCTGTGTAAACAGGAATACCTTTCTTTGAGCCGAAAACCTTGAGTATCGGTTGATGATCGGTTTGCAGGAGGAAGTGTCGTTCATACAGCATTTTGTGGAAACGGGTGACAGCGAATATCAGGGCTAATGCTTCCTTCTCCACTTGTCCGTAGTTCATCTCTGCTGGGGTCAGTGAGCGCGAGGCGTGCGCAATTGCCTTCACTTCGATGCATCTGCTGCAACAACGATTTCCTTGGACGGGTCGTAGTGTGTAAGCAGCAGGTCGGAAAGTAGAATGGCCTTGAGCTGCTCGAAAGACTTCTGGAAATCCTTGGTCCAGTTCCAGCGTGCATCTTTCTTGAGGAGGCTGTCCAGAGGAGCCCTGAGTTGCTTCATCTGCTTAACGAATCTACCATAGTAGTTGACAGCACCGAGGTAGGAACGGAGTGGCTGGACATCCTTCGGAGACTGCATCTTGGAAATGGCTTCTGTTTTTGAAGGGTCAGGCCGAATACCGTCCTTATCCACGATGTGTCCGAGAAACTTGATCTGGGAGAGTGCGAAATGACATTTTTCGAGGCGTAGGTGAAAGCCATACTCACGGATCTGCTCGAGAACAGCGTAGAGACTGCGATCGTGTTCCTGCTTGGTGCGACCAGCGATGAGGATGTCGTCCAAATACGGCTTGACTCCAGGGATGCCGGCCACCATGCTGTCGATGATGCGCTGGAAAGCGCCGGGTGCCGACTTGACTCCGGGGGGTAGTCGGTTATACTGGAACAGTCCACGATGCGTGTTGACCGTGAGTAGCTTTCGCGATTCCTCCTCGACCTTGACCTGTAGGTAAGCGTCAGACAAATCGAGATGAGTGAAGTAACGTGCTCCAGCTAGTTCCGCAAAGAGGTCGTCAGGATGAGGCAGTGGATGATGGTCACATTCTAGCGCGTTGTTCAGCCCCGTCGAATAATCGCCACATACACGGACTGATACATTGTCCGACTTGCGTACGACGACTATTGGTGCTGCCCAGTCCGAGAATTGAACTGGAGAAATTATACCGTTTTGCTGGAGCCTCTCAAGTTCTGCGTCCACCTTGGCGAGTGCAGCGTACGCTACTGGTCGTTTCGGGCAATATGCAGGACGTGCGTCAGGCTTGAGGTACAACTTCACTTGCGCTTTTGTGCATCTACCCAGCGTGCTTCGAAAAACTTCCGGAAACTGTTGCTTGAGTTGATTGGTGAACTGATCAGAACGTTGGTGTACAGATCCATAGTCTCGATTCCTAGAACGTTGAGTTCAGCGCTGCTTGAGATGAAAATGCGACCAGTCTTGGTAACATTCTTGATGGTGATCTCGGTCTGGAACTCAGCGAAAAGGTTGAGATTGCCACCAGAAGCTGTAACTGCAGATTCTTCCGTCGGTTTAGTGGGTCGGCTGTCCGATGCTGATCCATGTTTCTTCTGAGATTATGGTGATGTCGGACGCCGAGTCGTGTTGAAGTTTGACTGCTACACCATTGAGCTCGACCGGGATGAATTTCCGCTTGCTTCCGATGTTGCGAACCGTGTAGATGCTTTTTGTCTTCACGTTCTCTTTGGATTTGGCCTGTTTGAACGGTTTCGACGGAGCATTCTTGTTGCTGTTGCAATAACCTTCCTTGTGTCCTTGTTGCTTGCATCTGGAACAGGTGTGCGAAACGAACGGACACTCACGAACATAGTGCTGGTCGCCACACTTCCAACATGGCGTTTTCGGCACTTCTTGGTTCTTTTTTGAGGCAGGATTATTCTGATTGCGAGAAACAATGTTGACGTTGCGTGCTTCTTTGTTCTCCACCATCAATGTGTCCTGCTTGAGATTGGCCACGCGATGGCATTCTTCCACGAGGTTCTCCAGGGTTACCTTGCTGGTGGCTTCTCCCAATTCGTTCACTGCGGTTTCGTCGGCTTCCAATTTCGAGATCAACCTAGCTCGTAAAGGGTGTCCACGATGAAATTGCCACACACAAAATTGATTCGCAAAATTCGAGTTTTCATCCGATTGCCATCAAATTTTCAGGGATTGAGAAATAACTATTAAACTTCATTTTACCATTTTACTCGTATTTTATTTACAGTCCATACGCAAATGCCCGCACCTTGGCCTTAACCCCGGCCATAAGATTCTGCACAACCTGTGAATCAACCGTTTTTTTGCATGTAAACCCATACTTTCTTCAGTTCCTCGACTGTCTTCACTATCTTAGGTCGTTTAAGAAGGTGCTGCTTCATAATCACCCAGTACTTCTCGATGGGGCGGAGCTCCGGAGTGTTGGGAGGGTTGAACATTTTCGGCACGAAATTGACCTTATTGTCCGCATACCATTTCAGCACGTCCTTGGAGTAGTGGCATGAGGCCAAATCCGGCCAGAAGATTGTTGGGACGTTGTGGGCCTTCAGGAGAGGAAGCAGCCGCTTCTGGAGGCACTCTTTTATGTACACCTGTCCGTTCATCGTGTCCTGGGTCACGAAAGGTGCACTCCGCTTCCCGCACGTGCAGATGGCTTGCCAAACCAGGAATTTCTTCGCAAATTTGGACATCTTCTGAGTGCGGACATGCTCCGGAACGCTGAACTTATCCTTGGCCGTGAAAAACAGGTTGCCGGGGATCTGTTTGAAGTCGGCCTTCACATATGTTTCGTCGTCCATGATGCAGCATTCAACTTTCGTCAGCATGTTGAGGTACAACTTCCTGGCACGGGTTTTGGCGGACTTGTTCTGCTTCTCGTCGCGAGTAGGGGCCTTTTGTACCTTGAACGTTCGAAGCCCAGCCTTAGTTTTGGCCTTCTGGACAAAACTTCGGCTTAGGTGCAGCTTCTTAACCACATCCCTAACGGAGGCGTTCGGATTTCGGTTGAAGGCCCCAACTACGCGGTTGTGATTTTTGGTGTTGTACGGAATACTTTTTCCTTCACTTCTGGGCTTCCGATCGGTGGTCAACCGTTCCTCGAAGCTTAATCACTCGCGACACCGTGGAATTCGCGATTCCCAACGTTTTAGCGATGGAACGATGCGAGAGATCCTTGTTCTCGTGATGAATGCGCAAGATTTTATCACGCACGAGCTGTTCTTTCGACTCCATTTCCGCGAGTTTTGATCACAGGACTTTAAAACTTGCAGGATGTAAATAATGCACTATGAACTAAATCCACCCAAATTTTCATTAAATTCTACCCAACGGTTAAAAATTTAGAGCAATTTCATAGTGTGGCAATTTCATCGTGGACACCCTTTATGTCCGCATCCCGTGGCGATTGGAGTCCACAGACGAAACGGAGAGCTTTGAATTGATCCGGTGTGAGCTTGGACAGCTGAAACGCTTCACAGTGTTTGTTCACCATGGCAGCATACGATGTGAAGTCATCCGCGTCACTTTTTGCATACTGGAGGCACTGGTAACGGGAATGAAAAACCGACTTCTGTCGACCGAACAGTTTCTTCAGTTTCGTGACGGTTTCGTCCAGGGTGAAGTCCCGGGGATGCTTGGGAAGAATGGTGTTGACGTACTTCTCATGCAGAGGCGTGCTTAACTTGCGTCCAGGGATTGGCCGTCCTTTGTAAAGCCATCCTCGTACCTCGCATACCAGCCATCGAAGAAAACTCCTCCGTACGGATCGTACTGGAAATCCTGGATCCCGCTTGCCAAGGACTCAATAATATTCTCACTGCCAGCAGTCGGATTTCCCCGAGTTTCCAGGTTTTCAATCTGCTGCTGCTGCCTCGTGATGAGATTCGTTAGCTGCAGGATGGCGTTCCGAAGATCCTCGTCAGACATTTTCTTGCTTCGAGGTTCGAGGTGCTTCCAAAATTTTCCTCGTCGCCAATTGGTATATCCGTAACCAAGGCCAGCAAGTAAAACAAGCTGTTGTTAAGAGGTCGGATAAAGAATCGATCTCTAACTTATGACAGTCAGGCAAGACCTACTACATCTAGGCCTACTACACTTTCATTGAACGTTCGCTCGCCTTGCTGCCAGCCACATCACCCCCAAAGCTCTTTGATCAAACATTTGAGGTCAAATGCGTAACAGTATTGAAGTGGTAAATACAAGTGACCTTGTCACTTAACCAGAAACACTTCGAATTAAGGTAAAGTTTTCTCCAGGACGTTAGAAAAAAGCAAAAAAAATCTCGAATTTATATGATTGATCGCGAATATCTCGCGGAAAATTTTAGCAAGAAATTCCTCCAATAAATTTTCTATAGAATCAACTAAAAATTCCGTGCATTTTGTGCTGGAAAATACGTCATTTGCGCCATCAGAAAACGAGGCGTTTCCGTGATGGGAAAAGTGGTTTCCCTAACACAGTCGCCGAATATTAATACCGAGCAAAAACTCCTACGTCAAATCTACGCTCGTGTCATACTTTTTTTGATTTCATCTGGCTGCCCTGCACTGCATCTACCCACACAAAAATACATTGCACAACAATCACAAAACTTACCTTCCGTCTCTTTCCTGCCAACTCGCCCAAAACGAGTAAACACGAGATCAAAACAGCCCAATGAGAAATGTACACGACAATCTTTCAAACGGATATTTCTAAATACTGTTCATCCAACTCTACATACTAAACAAGCTAATTATTGTACCAATTGCACCCTTCAGTCATTAAATTAAATTCTCACACACCGCTTTCTCCGTTGACAGAACCCACAAACGCACACACGTACGACCGTCGACCGCCTTCAATGATACGTTGTGCAAAATTTTACCGATTTCCAAAAACCACCTGCCCCTTTCAAAAATGTATATTCAATTATCAAGCGGGAAAACAAAATTCAAATTGTTTTGTGCGAAAAATGGTGATGTTATTGTTTTTTTTTTTCGTTGCACTCACGACGAATCAAACAAAAATTCGGCCGAAAATTGACCAACCAGACACGCACACGTACGTTCAACAACCCGACATCAATCATAATAACCAACCAAACGGAAGCAAGTCAAACGAAAGACTGACTGCTGACGACTGGTCGATGGAAAAAGTAGCGGTATTTTGAGTGCGCATCATCCTTCACACAATGATGTGGGAATGTGTGTGCGATTTGACAGATAAACGATCAGCAGATGATTGCAATCATAGGGAACGTGGGGGGAGAAATTAGCATTCTAGGGGCCATTGATGATAAAAATCTTTATTTTGAACTTAAAAGCGTTACGTCTCATCCAAATTTAAGTAACTTAAGCTTACATTGCATTCTCGTCAAAAATACGTCATAGATAACTTAAAAAAAAACTACGATTCAGTTTACTCAATCGAATACTGAGTGTTCAAACCTTTTCCGCCAGCAGCCGTTCCTGGCTGTCGGGATTCAGCTTGATGATCTTCTGCTTCGCCGCCTGGTTCGGGTCGTAGCCGTACAGGAAGATCGACCCGATTACCAGCGCCGCTCCGAAGGTGAACTGCAGCGTCAAATTGAAATCGAACAGATACATCGACGCCACGCAGGAAATGATGATGGCCAACGAGGTGGCAAAGCCCTTCAGGATGTTGTCGGCATACTTGACGACGACGGCCACGATCAGACCGCCACCGGCCTGCAGCAGGATCAAGTACCAAATGAAGCCATCGTAGCCGTAGAAGAACCCGCCGGAGGTGAGTTTCGCGCCATCATTTGCGAAGCAAGTCAACAGGCCGAAGGGCAGACTCAGCAAACTGAGCTGGATGTTTCGCATCCAAACGGAGATGTCCGCACCTTTGAGCATCTTTTCGAAGTAGATTCCGGCGAAGCCGGACAGGAAGCACGCACCCAAGGCGGCACTGAAACCGAGCAGCCGATTCTGATCCGGTTCACCTAAAACAAAAGACAGGAAGTTGTAGAATGCTGCCGGCAGCGTGTCATCCCGGCTACAACCCACCTGGCATCTGCTGCTGCCGGGAGGCGGCCGTCCCACTGGAATCCGTCTGCGCCAGCTGTACAGTGGCCACTCCGACCACCAGCGCCACTAGGGCACCCCACTGGGTTGGGAACAGTTTCTTCCGGAGGATAATCACCGCAAATACAGCCGTCGTCAGAATCTTCAACTGATACGTCACCTGGTAGGTCGCCGCGTCCAGGTGGGACGCCGAAACGTACAGGAGATTGTTCTGCAGAATGTACAGGAACGAGGGCACGCAAATTTTGAGCGTATCCATCGGTTGCTTCACGATCGTATTGTGCAGAGCGGCCTTCAGCCGGTGGACATTCTTACCTTCTTCCAGAAACACCAGCACCAGACTGGTGACCAGTTTGGCCACCTCGGCCATCACGACGGCCGTCGAACTGAGGAACATATCACCCGGTCGGGTCCGGGCGTACCGCATACTCAGCCCCAGGATGGCATTCTGCAACGTAAGGGTGATCAGGCTGAGGTACTTCAGGTTGTTGCTGGTCGATTCTGGCATGAAAGGGGGAAACGTTTCATTTAAATTGAAAACACTAATTCTGTTTTTAGAAAGGAACTCGAGCAGCACTTACTTGGAGCCATCTTCATGCGAGAGTTACTTGCTGACGGATGATGGCAAAAGAGGTCACGGAAACCAGTTTTTGTTTATTTTTCTTTATTCTCTTGGCAGCAGCAGCAGCACTATCAGCAATGGTTAAACTAAAACCATTTTCGCTGAAACTTTTAACATAAAAAATTAACCGGAAGCCGAATTCAGTGAACTAACCAGCATGCGTGGGTGATGCTATCTGATGCGATACTCGAATTTGTGATGATGTGTTTAATAGTGCTTGTTCGCTGGTGCTTGTTCTCCGTCTCGCAGTCTCGACGATCTGCAGGCAGCCAGGGCAGACATTTTTTGATTACGTTGACAGAAATGCACCGCGGATGCGGTTTGTTTACAGTTTTTTTTTTATGGTCGATGATTAGTGATGATGACAGTTTGATCGGGGGTGAGGTTAGCCCGAAGCTTGAACTGTCCCAAGCGATAAAGAAGAGCCATAGTAATTGTAAATAAATAACGCGTGCGGGTGCGAAACGCTCGTGTGAATTGTGAAATAAAATTTAGTATTTCTTTATAAAATCGCGATTGTATCAATACGAAAAATTGGAGGAAATTTCCGAAGTGCCGTGCTATGAAAACAACAAAAATTACCGATGTCGCCATGATGGAAGATAAACGGGATAATCCCGTTTTGTGTAAGTAAAGTTTTTGGGGATGTTGTACACGGTAAACGAAAAATACTCAATAATGACGAAACAATGCATTTTAAAGGGAACTGTTACTCATTTATTTAGTAATAGCAACAATCAATCAATCAATACGAAACTAACGATTGGCTCACTACTTGACTAGCCTATTAGTCCCAAGAACATCGACTAACGTACCCCATTATAGTATAAATTCCAGTATTACACTATGTTTGTTTTGATTCGCTATGAAAGTTTGACAGATAAAATGAGGGGTTAGTGAGTTTTCCTATGTTTCGAGGGGTGAATCGATTAGCTTGGGACCGAAGATAGTACCAGAGCTGAGCCAAAAAGTCGAGCACGTTATTTCGGGACCTTCTAGTCTTAGAGTTACCTCTATGGTAATAGTGACTCAATTATTGGGTAGTCCGAGGGGGACGACTCTATCTACGATGCACAAAAGATTGTGTTTAGCTGATGCAGAAAAACTCTAGATAGAGCTGGAATTAGGACGTAACAGCCATTGTAAACAATGACTTCTCTCGGTGATTTCTATGAATTCAAGCCACGCCTACACAAACCAACATATCCATCACGTATTCTTCTACCCGATGGTGATGTCGATTTGCCAGCGAGTGTCATGACTTTCGAAACATCATCGAGAGAAGTCATTGTTTACAAAAGCTGTTACGCCCTCATTGCAGCTCTATCTAGAACTTTCTTTTTGCTGTTGTGAGATGTGCGCACGCTTAGTCCATAGAAAGAAGATTGATGAAGATTTTGAAGATTTCCTGCAAAAAAATTGAGAGCGATTTACAGTAGATTGAGATGCAAGAGATGAAAAAAGAATTTTCGTAGATTTATTCTGGAGATTTTTCGACCATCTAAAATTGAGATTTGCTTCCAGCTTTTACAGTGGACTTCCTTCAGATCTTCTTGCGGGCTTCTTCGAGATCTTCATGTGGACTTCATCCAGTTGTTCCTGTAAGCTTCCTGAATCTTTTAGTGGAATTAATCCAGATCTTCCTGAGCTCCAGAAGTGGACTTCTTCCTAATCTTCTTCAAGACTACAAGACTACTGTGGACTTTCTGCAGATCTTCTTGTAGACTCCCTTCAAATCTTTCTGCGGACTTCCTCCAAGTCTTCCGAAGAACTTCTTTCGGATCCTCCTGTTGACATCCTCTACATATTCATGTGGACATAATTCTTGATAGAGCTGGAATTAGGGCGAAACAGCTTTTGTAAACAATGACTTCTCTCGATGATTTCTCGAAACTCAAGGCACGCCCACGCCAACCAACATAACCAACGGGAAGGGGAAGTCTTCCCCTACTCGATGGTGACGTTGATTTGAGTAGGCGAGCCTTGGCTTTCTAGATATCATCGAGAGAAATCATTGTTTACAAAAGCTGTTACGCCCTAATTCCAGCTCTATCCAGAATTTTCCTATAGACTACCTGCAGGTCTTTTTGTGGACTTTCTCAAGGTCTTCCTGTGCCCTTCCTCCAGGTCTTCCAGCAAACTTCCTCCAGGTCTTCCTGTGAACTTCTTCCAGATCCTGCTTCGGATCCTCCTGTGGACTTCCTTCAGATCTATCTGCGGACTTCCTCCAGATGTTCCTACGGGCTTCCTGTGGACCTTCTCCAGATCTTCCTGGTGACTTCTTCCAGATCTTCCTCCGTACGACATAAAATGTAATTATGATTGTATCAAAACGGTCTACTCTGATTTACGACAAATAAATAAATAGATCTGCATGCTGTGGACTTTCTCCAGATCTTCTTGTAGACTTCCTCTAGGTCTTCCTGCGGTCTTCCTCCAGACCTTTCTGTGAACTTTTTCCACATCTTCTTGTCGACCTACTCCAGGCCTTCCTGAGGTCTTCCTCCAGATCTTCCTGTGAACTTTCTCCAGATTGTTCTGTGGAATTCCTTCAGACTTTCCTGCGGACTTACTCCAGATCTACCTGTGGATTTCCCCCACATCTTCTAGTGGACTTTTTACCGTTCTTTCTGTGAATTTTCTTGCGTTATTCCTGTGGACTGCCTTCAGAGTTTTCAGTGAACTTTCTCCAGATCTTCATGTTTGCTTCTTTCAGATCTTCCTGTGGATTTATTTTAGATCTTAATGTGGGCTTGCTCCAGATCTTTCAGTGGTCCGCTTCTAGATTTTCCTGTGTACTTCCTCCAGATTCGATCCAGAAGTACTATTATATTTGGAAATTCTAGGAGCTTCCTTGTTCCTTGAAATTCATTAAGAATCTTGTAACGTTCATATTATTAAAACATCCTTTTGGAAGTACTACGAAATTTCTTGAATCTAGTTTTGACCTTTTTTCAGAACTTCCTTGAACTTGAACCATAGAAAGTCGTTGAACTTTTCGTAAGAAGCTCGTTGAACTTTCCGTAGGAAGTTCGTTGAACTTTCCGTAGGATGTTCGTTGAACTTTCTGCTGGAAGTTCCTTGAACTTTCCGCTGGAAGTTCGTTGAACTTTACTCTAGAAGTTCCTTGAACTTTCCGTAGGAAGTTTCTTGAACTTTCCGTAGGAAGTACCTTGAACTTTCCGTAGGAAGTTCCTTAAACTTTCCGTAGGAAGTTCCTTGAACTTTCCGTAGGAAGTTCGTTGAACTTTCCGCTGGAAGTTCCTTGAACTTTCGGCTGGAAGTTCCTTGAACTTTCGGCTGGAAGTTCCTTGAAATTTCCACTGGAAGTTCCTTGAACTTTCCCTAGAAAGTTCCTTGAACTTTTCGCTGAAATTTCCCATACTTTTCTTAGGAAGTTCCCTGAACTTTCCGTAGTCCGTAGGAAGTTCCCTGAACTTTCCGTAGGAAGTTCCTTGAACTTTCGGCTAGAAGTTCCTTGAACTTTCCGCTTGAAATTTCCGCTGGAAGTTCCTTGAACTTTTCGCTGGAAGTTCCTTGAACTTTCGGCTAGAAGTTCCTTGAGCTTTCCGCTAGAAGTTCCTTGAACTTTCCGTTGGAAGTTGCTTGAAATTTTCGCTGGAAGTTCCTTGAACTTTCCGTAGAAAGATCCTTGAACTTTCCGCTGGAAGTTCCTTGAACTTTCGGCTGGAAGTTCCTTAAACTTTCCTGTGGAAATTCCTTGAACTTTCGGCTGGAAGTTCCTTAAACTTTCCTCTGGAAGTTCCTTGAACTTTCCGTAGAAAGTTCCTTGAACTTACCGTAGGAAGTTCCTTGAACCTTCCGCTGGAAGTTCCTTGAACTTTCCGCTGGAAGTTCCTTGAACTTTCCGCTCGAACTTCCTTGAACTTTCCGCTGGAAGTTCCTTAAACTTTCCGCTCGCACTTCCTTGAAAGGCCAATCAATTCTAACCTCAAACTAACAAAAAAATTTCTTTTCTTCATCTCCCTTCCACAGTAAACTTCCAGAACGCCGAAATGGGCTACAAGAACGACAGCCAGATTCAGTGCTTCCGTGCCGAGGACGTCGATCGGGCAACCCGCGAAGGTGACCCGGGCGCCAAGCCTTCCCGGATGGCGGTAGTCATCAGCGGTCAGCAAGCGTACCGTGGCTATCTGGGCGAGGGACTCCCGTCGGACCTGATGGACACCTACGTGGCCATCCGGAGCAAAAAGACCGGCAAAATGCGTCTCATCCAGCTGGAGGAATGCACCATGCTGAACGCCTGCTACGACGACAACAAGAACAAATTCCAGGAGCAGGAGAGTTCGCTAACGGTGATGCGGAAGTTCGGCGGTAAGGTGGCCATTCGAGCTCTGGAGCGTATCGAACGGTCCGGTAGCAACATCGATGTGATGAATGATAGCATTCAGCAGACGGTCCGGGCGTACGACGACGAGCAGTTCACCGAAGAAAATGCGTTTTTGAAGACCAAAGTGGAAGGAGAGTTGATCTTGGCCAGCATAAAGCCACCGAGAAATCCGGAAGCGAAAACGCCAATCGAACTGTATCGTTTGGAAGACTTGTTGTCGGAGCCGGTTCTCAACAGCATGAAGACCGCCGGATTGGGGCTAATGCAAAAGGATCCGGAAACGCTAGAACTGTCCAATGTCTATCTGACGAACAAGGTAAAGGCGGCTCTGCAGTCGAAGGAACCAGACTCTGATGAAAATGTTCGCACGCTACAGATTTGCCTGTACATGGATGCCTTATCTCTGCTGCTGCAAACGAACGCTAGTAACTTTGAAAAAATGACACTGTCGACATATTCAAAAGAGTTGTACTTTGAAATAAGACGAAAGTTTTCCGAAGTCCACCATCATAAACCGTTGAAGACAAAATATTCGAAACACAAGGCTCTGACTCACTATCTGGCAATGGCATTTGTGTTGGACAATGGAGTGCTGAATGTGGATCAACTTCACGGTGGATTGAACATAAACAAGAACGAACTGTTGAAGTTTGCCGCGTTTATAGGCGGGTCGTACAATTCGGTGAAGAATGTGTTGACGCTACGGATGACCGGAGGGGAGGCTAGCACTGGGAGGCCGTTCGTCAACAGAAAGCGGTACGGAAAGAGGAACTAGTGATCAGAGCAAACAACAACTTGAACAACTTAATTCATGCAGATGTATCATATATGTAATTTTTGCACCATAAGGTGATTTCTGTGTAATGGCAAAAATACATGGATTATATTTAACAGATTGTTCGTATTTC